ATAGTTTATTAACTGGTCAAATGGCAACTATTGCACAAGTATTCTGGATGGTCCCTGTTGCTCTGTTTAACTACTGTGTTGACAACTGCCAAGTTTTCATTTGTACTTCTGAATTTCTCAGGAACTCCAGTTTAGAAGCAGTGCTGCACTCTTCAAAATATGTTTAGTGTTAAATACATTTAATGCCTAACAGTTCTACTGTTTATATTGCAGTTATTTCTCAGAGAGACAGCATGCCTATCTCAGCTATTTCAGGGAAAGGAGAATTGGGGAAAATTGTGGTTTTAAGAAGGTAAAGACACAGAAATCAAAAAAAAAGTTAGTGTGTAAAACTGCATGTGATACCTAGCACTTTTAAAATATCAATTATTACTTGTTAGCTGTAGAATCCAGCTCTTTATTTTCCTTATTTTCCTCTTTTGTGAGATACATGGCTTGTTTTGGTTCCCCCCTTGGTGTGCTTATATGGCAGACAGTTGTGTAGATCTCTCTGTCTGTCTGAAAGACATATGCAGAAGTAAAGTCTGTGGGGAATGAACTTTATTAAGACTGCAGCGAGTGTGTCATTAGGGAGCTGTTAGTGTGAAAGATGATTGCCCTGCAGCCATTCACAGGCTACTTTGGAGCAGAGAGGCATTTTTGTAGAAAGCTGAGACCAGTTAGTCAGGTGCAGTGGCCTCTAAGTTGCCTTTTGCTGCCTCTGCAAAGATCTAAAACTTTCAGGTGCCACAAAAAAAATGCAATGGTATAAGACTTTGAAAAGGAAAAGTATATTCATTTTAAAGAAGTTCCTGTAAATAAATTAACTGGTTGTATTGCTGTGGCTAAAGCTCTGTGGTCCCTGACATCTGTAATAAGCAAAATAGATGTTGAACTCTTGCTGGAGTCAGGAGGCACAGTGCTGAAGAGACCACTTGTGAGAGAAGGTCCTCTGCTGTAAGGCATCCTGCTTTTAAGGGTTGATTCTCCACCAGCCAGGCATCCTGTTCAAGCATTCTGCCTCCCAGCTCATCCTCACCTGACCTCAGACCCATGGCTGTATGTATGAATGTTTCTTTTGAAAACAGCTGCTGCATAAGTTATTTGACAGAATTTTGGCATCAAACATTTTATACATCATCATTTCTCGAAGAAAGCTCTCTTTGTAATCTTTCAACAATTGCTTTATTTGTTGGCTTTTGTGGCATAACTGGAAACATGGATGATACTAATTTAAAAAATCCGAACTGCCTTGCAGTAAAATGAATTGAAATCACAGGTCTTAATTTCGAGAGACTTTTTGAAGTTCTGCATGATTTTTTGTTTGTGATGTGGAGTTTAATGGTATTTTGGTGATCTGGTCCAGAGTGTGAATTACTGCATGTGCTGTGAAGGTCTCGAAGTTTGGAGTGTTGTAGCGGTAGGAACTCTGCAAAGTCAGAGCCGTGCTAATCCTGACATGGAAGAAACACTTTTGGGAACCGAAATGCCAAAGTGCTGAGCCTTCATGTCTAGTAGCTCACAAGCTGGTTTCAGAATGCAGGGACCAACAGGGGTATCATTCCCAGTCCCTGTTGGCCTTTTTTTTTTTTTTTTTTTTTTTTTTTTTTTTTTCTTTTTTTTTTTTTTTTTTTTTTTTCCCCCGTCCTCTTTTTGCAGTGTCATTTTGCATGAGTGGTAAGACAAAAGGAAGCATAATTCAGTGTTTCAAAGATAAAACTTTAGTGAAACATGATTGCATTCACTAAATATAAGTTCATGGGAAATGTGCAAGTAGCAAAAGTGAACTCCCGCTCCAGTAACTGTAGTGAAGATGCACAATATTTTGCCTGGCAGTGATTTTTTTTTTGCTTCTTTTGGCCATATTTTTCTTATTTGTTTTTAATGTTGGCCAGGGCCAGTAATTGGGAAAAGTAGGGTATTATCTTTCTTTTCAGTGCTTATTTGATTTCAGTTTTTGTTGTTTTAAGATCTGTAATCTTCTTGATTTTTATATACATAGAATAGTTAATTGTAAGGCTTTTGTGTGAATGTACTGTTTGGAAAGTGCAAAACATCTTGAGTATGGAAGCATATAGATGCAGGGGTTTTTTGCATTATGTATAAAATAGAAACAATGGACCGTGATATTTAGTTGTAGACCCTATCAGTTGAGTTCGTTGTGTTTTGTTTTTTTGTTTTTTTTTTCTTTTAATATGCTACAAGGTCTGTATGATCTGAAACAAGCAAGAGCATAGTTGCCTCTAAATTTATTAGATTTCTGTCTTTTAAAGATTTTTTTCTTTTTGTATCAATAAAAGATCATACAGCAAGTACTTCAATGGAAAATACCTTGTCCATTATTTGGTTTACATAGGTTTGTGGTTTTTTTTTCCTTTTTTTTTTTCTGTTGCTTGTGTACTGTGGTAATTTATCAGGACCATGAGATCTGTGGGGCTGACAATGAACCTTCATTTTTTGTTGAGTTTTGCACAGAGGATTCTTACTTGTAGCTGATAGCTTTGTTTTATGGCATGTAAACAATAAATGTTAATACTGTAAACTCAATCAAATTGCATGTGTACCAGTTGTGACTGGGTGACATAGAATTTTCTCACAAAACTTTGTAGTTGCATTTCTGAATCTTAAAATTACTGTAACGTTTTAAAGTAACTTTTCAAATAAGTATTTTAGGGTTGGTTGATAGTAGTTTTAACAAAATGCTTGGTTAAAACCCAAAGCAAAAAGTTGGGATGTATTTATGGAAGAATTTGCAATGATAAAATATGAGGGTATGCCAGTGAGTGAGTGAGTTAGACATGGTCTCTCTTAGAAAGGCTTCAGAAAGTAATCATTTGATAATACAGATCTCGGCCTTCTGCCATATGCTCTCATTTGTCTCCTGGAAACTAGAGTTACTTATCAGTCATCTTATCATACCTCTTTTTTCAACCCTGATATAACTATTGGCACATAGGAATGAAAAGTAGCACAACTATTTTTATTGGTGCTGTGTTGTTGGCATGCTTATAAACTGGTGGATGAGAATTTAGTATAGCTTTTGCGTCATTAAGTAGCTGAGTTTAACTCCAGGCCTTCAATCTGCCTTTGGTTTTGCAAGCAATGAGCCGCTACAGTCAAAAAGGTGAACAAGGGGATTACTACAGCTTGGGAGCCTGCTTACTGTTAGCAGATATTAGAGCCAAGCTTGTTTAGCCTTTACTAGTGATTTGGATTTTTTTTTTTGATTAGGGAAAGGGGAGAAAAGGGAGCAGGCTCTTCTGTGAACTGGAAATGTGCTGTTGGATTTTACCAAAAGCCAGTGTTGAAAGCACCCAAAGAAACTTTTTTTTTTTTTCCTGTGGAAGCTTTTTTTTGGTTTGTAAAAAAGTGATGGTGGTGGTGATAGTGGAAATGTATTAATATCTTTCAATAATATCTTAGAATAGTAGTCCCATTTATACTGTCTGATACTTCAGAATATCTTCTGTATTTAAAAGAAACCAAACTACTAGAATGTAATTGACTGTATGCTAGTATTATACCTTTACAGTTGTGCTACATTAATTATGTCATAATGAGTAGAACTTACATATACTGTTTTGATTTTTTCAGGCTGATTTTTTTCATTAAACAAAATTTTCTCCATATCTGCATTATACTGTTAGATCTTGCTTTTTGTAATCATTAACCTTAACATTTTTTCTTTACTAGCCAACAACATTGTTGCTTAAATTCTGTTTTGATCCTTTATCTCTTTTTTTCCAGTCCCTACTCTCAAACATAGCTCTGCAGATTAGAAAAAGAAATAAATATGAAATGCTAGTGTGCCTTAGGTTGCTATGCAGATGTTTACTGTATTTTTTTTTATTGCCAAGAATCAAAGAAGAACAACTTCTTTTGTAAATATATATATCATTATTTGTATTTGCATTTTTCTTTATGAATGAGAATTCATTTATACAAAAGCTTGCTTCTGATAAATGAATTACTCTAAATGCTTTTTTCTTTTTTTTTTTTTTAAGCACTTCTGAAAATTTTGTTCATCTGATGCAGTCATGGAGTTATAATACGGGAATCTTGGATTATTCTGAGTAGCATGGCACATTCAGTTTTCTAGTGTACATGTAATTCCAGTTAATACTGTTTTTGAAGGCAATGCCATCTTTGGTACTCTTTGCAGACCAGGAGTGGGACTCATTCATGGAAGTATTTACTTGAAACGTGTGAGAGAAAGTTACTAGCTGCTTATTTTTTCAGAGTTCGAATGAACTGAAAAGGAGGTGGGATGTAACCAGTAACATTACAAGAATATTTTATTCAAGGCATAAAAACTTTTTTGGAACAGAATACAATAGTGAATACTTTCATTACCATGTAGACGTAACTTATAACCTTTCTGCTTTAAAAAAAAAAAAAAAGCTATTTAAAACAGAGCACAGACTTTCTTTTTTTGTTGTTATGGTTTACTTGCATTTCTTTTCCTCTGGGGAAAAGGACTGTATCATTCCTTCACTGAGAGATATGGATGCTTTTATAGTCATGAAATATTTCAGTGCTTTCATGTTAGTTATTTCTTTGTTTTCATCATGTTTTGGGCTTGACTAGAGTTGACAGTGTAAACTGCAGTTTTGGAGTTCCTTCTGCAAATTTTACTTCCTTGTAAATAAAAGTTTTTAATACTAGAAGATGTCTGATATCTGAAGTTATAAAAAAACTTGTAGCATTTGGGGAACCATTGTCTCTTTATTCTAACATTAGTGTATTAATATTCTACTACACTTCTTTCTAGTTTTTGTACTTGGAGACTTGTAGGTTCTGGTACTGGTGAATTTAGTTGCTTTTTATGTCATCTGATAAAAAATGTATTTTGTATATGTAGAGTATTTGCTTACCTCCTGTGGAATTTGCACTATTTGCTGTGATCTACTGAACTCTCTTGCGAGTAATTTAAAAACAATCCTTTAAATTTTGTTTTTAACAGAAGGGGACACAGTTTGTAGAAGACTTAGGCAGACGAGACACTGAAGAAAACAAGAAAAATGCCGAAACCAGTAAGTAGCTTTTGCTTATCTATAATCTTAACAGGATTTTCATGTTTTATAGTGGTCATCTTATAATAGGTCTAATTGTTTTGAGTCTGCCCTTTTTAAAGTTCGTAAGATCCAATAATGTACAGTTGGAGTTGAGAGAGTTCAATACCGACATGGGGAAAAAGATGAAGAAAGTTGGGTACTGGAGGTTACACAGGGCATATTTGGAGATGGGGCAGTACTTACAAAGCACAAAGAACTTAGAACTCATTTGGCTGTCAGGAGGAATGACTTTTCAGGAACTGTTGAATTTGAGATGAGATGACATACAGTGGTTAATAGAGGCCTGATTTGAGCCTGACTCGACATCTGTGAGAATCAGTGGAAGGATTTGCTGCAGGATTTGGCAGAGGAAGACAGAACATGTATGAAGTGTCAGCTGTTTACAGAAACAGCAGTAAGTTCAGTGGTAGTTTTAGTAGAGGGTATAAGAAATCTCCAACTTCTAATTCTAGTGGCTCTAAAGCTCTTCTGAGCTTTGCTGTCAGTCTGCTGACCGACTGGCCATACTGCATTGTTCCTGTAATTTCTGCTTTTTCTGCCTGTGGATTTGGGACAGTCTCTTCACACTTTCTTGATTTGGAAGTAGTTATTTGTGTCCTGTTCCCTTCTTACAGAAAGCTACACTACTAAGGAAAATGAATTAGGAGCTTACAGTTTTCTGACCTTTTTGAGTCCTGCCTATAATAATTGGGTAGTGCCTTTGATAGAGCTTCTTAACTGAAAAACTGTATTTTAAGAAAAAAGGCAACAAGTCACTGTGAGCTCATGTGATTCCTGAGGCCCCCAGCTCCACGCAGCTATGGAGCAATGAAGTCACAGACGTGTGACTAGAAAAAAAATGACAAGAGTGAGATTACTGTTTAAGTTTTGAGACTGGAATCATGACATTTAGGCAGGCAGGGTTCCCTCTATTTTAAGGACCTGAGAAAGTCATAGGAAATAGGGCTGTTCACAAGAAAAGCAGTATTCTTGGAACTGAGATTGCAGAGGTGTTGGAAGAGCTCACAATCCATCTTAGGAATGGAAATTAGCTACCAGATCTTAGGAGAGAAGCTGGGCTCATGCCAAAGATTGAGTAATTTTTTTTTTTTTGAGGGGCTTTATATGAAGAACTTTCCTGAGTTGGGATATTCTCATGTCTCCTGACTATGTAGGCGCATGTGAGATCCTAGAAGGAAACTGAGTGCAAGGATCCATTAAGAAATGACATGACATTAATTACATTTCTGAAAAAAATGTCGTATAGACTTCTTCCTGTATGCTACAGGTTACTGTAATTATAATTGATAATCAGTGAATGAAGACGTAGCACAAATACCAAAGATGAAGTAATTTTACCTATGAAAATCAAACCTCAGATTTTGCTCTGGTTGCTTCTTAAATGCTGAATTGCTTTGGAGTTTCCCTGCCCCCGCCTTTTTTTTTTCCCTCCTCATTTGGAGACTGTAAGAGCCTTGTCATTGCTTATGTTTAATGAATCCAACATTGTTCTTTTGAAGAGTTGTGCTGTTCTGCTAGGGTTTGACAGTCCAGTACTGTAGAAGGTCTCTTACTCTGGATGATCACTCTTACCAGTTGTCTTTGAAGACAATCCACAATAACCAAATGTACTTCTAGTCCGGAAACTGTTTGTGCTTCAATCTTTTGTTCTTTATTTGTGGCAGCTGTTGCAGTAAGTAGTCTCAGTCTTCTGTAGTTTTATTGGGTCTTTTAACCTGAAATAATGAAATAATCATGGATAAGAACTGCAAAAACCCAGCTAACATAACTGGTGCAAATTTGGACGGTGTTCTTGCATAGCTCTCTTCTCTGTATTACTCTGAACTGTTTAGATTTCCCCTCCCCCCCCAGATTCTGCTGTAATGATCCAATTGATCGTTTTAAGAAAATCTGGTCATCATGTAGATATGTGAACCTGTGCAATACAACTATAAGTAAATTCTCCATGGTTTTGAAATTTTTTAATGATTTTTAACAAATAATTAAGCTCTAGATTGTTTAAAACAAAATAAGTAAACAGTAAATCACAGAAAAAAAACAATGGAACAAATTTCACATGTCTGCTTTCACATTGAATAGTGATGTAGTATACCGGACAAAAATAAGTGAAGACCAGTAAATAGCCTTGGCATAGTTGAATTTTGAAGCAAAGATCCCAGATTTTTCCTGGAAGTTTCAGTGTGAAGTAAGATTCATACCATACATCTTCTTATACATGGTAGTAAAAGGTCATTGTTCTTATGTGTTTGGGATTTTCTCTCTTAGGGGCTACTGGGTTAAATAGCTTGAGTGAAGAGGCTTTTTTGAAAGGATAAAAGTGACTTTAATGTATTGTCCTGAGATATTAAGGTAATATGTCTGAAAAAATACACATTACTGAAACACTTTGCTTCTGCAGAAAAGTCTTGTTTGTTCACTTTGGCTGTGTTTGTAACAAAGTGGTGTTCCATTCTTTCAAGCTGTTCACTCAGCAGCTCCTCTACTTGTAAATCAAAATAGTTCCGAGACACAATATTCTCACTTCTGCCTAGCAGTGCAAAATTAAGCTTCATTTAGCTTCTGTTGTAATCCATCTGAAAAAAAAGACTTCTTTGTTTAATCAGGTCTTTGCTGCTGTAATCAAAATTGGACCTGTTAATAGGGCTGGTTTTGGTGTGTTTAGTTCTTTGCTTAATAAAGAATATTTGTTGACTCGTATTTTCAGTGCTTTCTTCCTAAAACAGACACACAATGTTTCTCAACTGTATGTCATTCTCCCAGATCTTCACTAAAAATAGATACATAGAGACTAAAATTAGACATCATTAGTTACATAACTGTTAATCATTTCATAGGCTAAGAAGATTAGCTTTAATTGACTGAAATATTAGTTGCATTTATAGGGTGTAAGAAGAGTTAAAGTTATCCACAGGTTTTGCTGGTAGTTTGCAGTATTTTTGTACAAGACTGCAAAGCCTGAAAGAGAAAGCATTAGGCTGGCTAGTAACAGGAGTAGATATCAAAGTTATTAAGATTGTAAAAGAATGCAGTTTTTAGTCTTCCTCATTTTACAGTATTGTATATTCGGGAGGAGTAGATATTGGATTCTGCAATAATGTGTATTGTTGGCATTTGAATTAATATTTAGAAGATGAAGTTAATTTCTGGAAAGTGGTTGAACTGAAATAGTGTGTATACTAATTTTTGAGCAGTGTTGTTTCACATGCAAAATGAGATGTGTAATGCAGTATTTGAAGTGTGATTTGAATATGAGTTACTTTTGCAGCATAAATAGATGACAGGTACCAGTTTGGAGGACTGATTTCTTTTGATTTGTCTGTTAGTAAAGTCTGTCTGCCATTATTCTATAGCTTTCTTTTCCTAATGCTCTTTAATCCTTACTTTTTAACCTTATCTTCTTCCTTAATTTTTCCTTTCATCTCTTCCTATGTCTGCTTTGAGGTTGGTACAGAGAGTGTAAAGCAACAGGTCCAATATACTGCTACTGTTTAACACAAGCAATTTAATAGGTCAGCGTGATATCCTAATCAGCTGAACTAGTGAGAAGAAACTTTTTTTACTATATGCTCTTTTCTTATAAATAAGAATTGCAGTGGTTTCTGTGTATTCATATTGCATTTACTAAAAACAAAATAAAACTACTGGAAACCTTTTTCATGTAACATCTAAAATTACTTTTACTAAATATTGGTGCCTACTCAGCTCTAGGCTTCCTGATGAAAGCTGAGGTGCCATGACTAATATATGGGGAAAGGGGCTGGAGTACAGTGATAGGAAGTATTAGACTAGTTAGTATTACACTTGTTAGTATTAAGCTAACAGTTTTTGTGCATATTCAGTGGACTGTACCTGTTTGAGGAGAAGTCCAACAGTTAATGTGGTGACTGTGTAATATCCCATTATTGTGGAGGGCTGAATTTAGATACTACAAGGAAGTGTAGAAATATTTTTTCAAGTCCTTAAAGCAGTGAAAGAGTACAACAAAAATAATTTCCATAGGAAATGTGTGATTTTTTTAGTACGTGCATATGGATGTTTTACTGTTACAGGTATGTTCATTGACAATCCTCTTTATTGGTTTGGATAAATTCTTTCATAGGGAAATTGCTTTAGATAGTTTTATATAAATACTCTTTTGTGAATTGTGGCAAATGTCCTCATAACCCATTAACAACATTTGTCATCAAAACATCAGTTGTTCCCTTCACAAAGAAAATCAACATGTATGTATGCACATGTTCTTCCCTTTCCCTTCCCCTGTCTCTCAAACCAGGACACAGTTTAATCATTCTGGAGCAAGTCTGGTAAGATACTAACTCGGACTGATGCCAAGGTCCTGGACAAGCTTGAGAGTTGGGCCCATGTGAACCTCATGAGGTTCAACAAGGCCAAGTGCAAGGCCCTGCTGGGTAGGGTAGGGCAATCCTTGGTATCAATACAGGCTGGGTGATCAGGGGATTGAGAGCAGCCCTGTGGAGAAGGACTTGTGGATACTGGAACATCTTTTCTATGAGGACAGGCTGAGAGAGTTGGGGTTGTTCAGCCTGGAGAAGTGAAGGTTCCAGGGATACCTTATTGTGGCCTTTCATTAATTAAAGAGGGCCTGTAAGAGGGATGGGATCAAACTTTTTAGCAGGGTGTGTTGCAATAGGACATGGGGTAATGATTCTAACCTGAAAGAGGGTAGACTTAGATACAAGTAAGACAGTTTTTACCTTGAAGGTGGTGAAACATTGACACAGGTTGCCCAGAGAGGTGGTAGATGCACCATCCCTGGAAACATTCAAGGCTGGGTTGGGTGGTGCTCTGAGCAACTCAATCTGGTGGAAGGTCTCCCTGATCATTGCATGGTGATTGGACTAGATGACTTTGAAGGTCACTTCCAACCCAAAGCATTCTATGATTCTATAGGGTAAAGAAGGTAACTGTTACAAGACAAGGGTTTAAAGCATTATTTTTGGGAAAAGTTTATTACAAATAGATTAAAAAAAATATGTATATGTACTTAGATATTGGGACAAAGCAGCTTTGTTGGAAATAAGGAAAAACTAAACTTCTTGATAGTGATTTTTTTGCAAATATTTGGTGATGCTTTTATGGTGAAGGCTTTCTGTCCCTGGCCACATGTTCATATTGTTCTGTATAGGCAAATGAGCCAAGCTAAATAATCACTTTAAAAGCTGTGAGGTAGGTATTTGTATTCTAAACAGAGATTTGGTGCTCTAAAATACAGCTTTGCATTACTGCATTCCTAAATGTCCAGCAGACCTTCTTCCATGCTATGCTAAACTTCACTATGGTCTTTGTACCCTTTTATAGCAGCCTGTTTTATGAAATGCACTCTTAGAGGTAGCCAGCTGAAAAAATCTGCATACTAAGCATTTTCCTTCTCTTAGAATTAAAAGAAATATTAATATAATTCATTAATCTGCCCTTTTATCTCTTCCCTTATGGCCTTTTAAATACAGGCCTGTGCTTCTCTAGATGGTTGGCTTATGTAGTTTAGCATATAGCTGCGTAAAGGCAATATATTCAGGGTAAAATTCTCCAAGAAAGAGGCAAACCCTGAAGGTGTTCACATTCACAGTTTGCCTGTTGGTTGTGGACTTATTTTTAAATGCCACCTGCTTCCCAGCACAGGAGTTCATTTCGTGTCCTTCACTGTGCTGGTGTACATCCAATAAGGCACACATCTAAAGTGGGAGCTGAGAAGCTCTTATCCTCTGTGTTAAAACTGTACATAGCTCCATAAGTTGGGTGTTGGAAGTATTGAAGCTTTTGGTTGGTTGTTGGGGTTTTTGCTTGTTTGGTGGTGTGTGGTTGGTTTGGTTGGGTTTTTTACTGTGTACATCACAGTGGCCCAAGCCTGTAATTTCTGGTGCTGCGTGTAACAGGGCTGCTCCATGAGCGCTGTGTTCCTGGCTGCCAAATCTGTCCATCATTGTGGAGCTGCCTGTGGTGTTGTCTCATCTGTGGAGGGGAGGATCTCTCACCACAACCACCTTGCCAGGGCATTCACAAAGGCTATTTCCCAGACATGACCACCATGGTGTTTTTTAGTATTTAATATTTGCATAGAGATTGCAAGGTCAGTAATAAGTGATAGAAATTGTTCAAATGTGGTACCAAACCCTATGTTTTTAAATAGCCACTCTTTAACCTTAAAAACAAAAAGGGTGTTTGCTGGTGTGTACTCCTGTGAACTGCAGAGCTATCTGTAGGGTTTCTTTATGAGTTTACCAGAGTAGGTTCCTTCGAAGGCATCTACTCAGAGTTCAGTCAGAATTACCTATGAATATACCATATGAGGCTTGTGGCAGCTCTTACCCTGAGCACAGTAGAACAGGATTTCTCATGACTGAGCAGCTGAAGTAATTGGCAAAGTCCTGTTGGGTGCTTTGTCATAGTTTCTGAAGTCTGAGGTATGGTATGTAGCCCCAGTGAGAGCAAGATTGAACAGCAGGCATTGGATGGGCCTTGTGGTATGAGCAGCGTTAGCCCTTCAGTGCTGGCTACAGGAAACCTTCACACATTTATCTTGTCGCCATTGCAAGAGCTCCTTCCTGTTTCCATTTCATGTGGCAAAGTCAGGTCAGAGTAATTATGTTCAGATTAATGTCTGTCTTTGTAATTTGTGGTTCAGATAATTTCCCCCTGTCACCAAAGTCATGTTAGGAGCGTTGCTTCAGAGTTGCTGGATACCCAACAGCAGATTACATGAGTGACAGTCCACTGCTGGATTTACTGCTTCCTTTCTCTGCCTGCATTTCCTCAGTTCCCTGCCTTATTTCTAACGTAGAAACTTCCCCCGTGACTCTTCCGAATGGAGCTGGACAGCTTCGTTTCACAGGTGGTGCCCCTCACACCAGAAGCTGGATTTTTTTTGTTGTTGAGAGTGTGTTGTGCGATCAAGGTTTGGATTAGATCAGTAAACTTTCTGGGCTCAGTCTCAGGGTCTGCCAAAAGTAACCTTATTTTCCATGCCCAGAAATAACTGAAGCTGTGAAACAGTGTTACGAGGTTGTAAAAGCTCAGTGTTTGTATGACAAAAGTCTGTCAGTCTGAACCTCTTGAGAAGGAAAATGATCAGGTGTGGTGTTTAACTTTGTAAGTATCTTCTTAAATAACTCCTCTCATAAAAGGTAACATTTTAATGTTTCTTTTGAAATTGCTGAAGACTTGGGGAGTTGTTGTAATGCATGTAAGGGCCCAGGTACTCCTCATGTGTATTTGTGTCTGTTGCAGCTCTAGTAGCTACGTACACTTGCAGCTCTGAGCTCTTGAAGCAGGAACATCCAGAAGCAATCAATCTACAGACTGTGTTGAGTTTGCCTCTGTATTACATCTGTTATTTTACTGCTTGAGTCATTTACCTCTCATGAGGGTTATAGACTTTCAGGTAGTGATTCTTATGTTTATAGATGATGACATTTGTTACAAGAATATTAATGTAAGAAGTTTTTGCTGCAGCTCTTCAGAAGTCTGCTGTGATCAGGTGAACTTGCTGTGCTTTGTAGATCTGTGAGGCTTCTTGTTTGGGCAGTGGTGCTGTTCCATAACAGTGCTCTGGCATTTAATAAAGTTACATTTTAGCCTTATCCGTTGTCACTTGCTTGCTTGTAGCCGCTCTAAAGCGGGCTTAATTTTTAAAATTGAAAAACTGCTTTAAAAGTATTAACTTTTTGTAATTAAGGAGCAACCCCCCACATTTAAACCAGGGCAAGTGGCAGTTAGACCTACCATTTAAAAGGGGTTGTTCTGTTAGAGACTGTGCAGTGTTTCTTGCTCTCAAAATGGACAGAATGAGAGAATCTACAGAAAATACCTTTTCTTTCTCCTCCTGGCACACATCCTCTAATTTTTTTTGGCAATAAAAGTTTACTATCTTTTACTCCAAAGCCTTCAGCTCTTGTTCTTTATCAGTGCTTGCATACAAAATAAGTTTGCTACCCTCCTGTTATCTTCCTTGTCTGAAGGTCTACAGCCCAGAGGTCCTCAAGGCTCCTACTACTCTTGTCTTATGCATCTGTCTCTTGCCCAAAGTTGTTCACCTTGATACTAAAGAAAGGAGTGAACATGCTTAATCTATTGCATGGGTACAAACTTGTGTCCAGTTTTTTTTTTTAGCACCTTACACCTCCCTTCTGTGTTCTATCTTGCAGACTTTTCCAGATTCAGTTCTTGAAGTATTCCACCTGGTGGCAAAATTAGGGAAATAGTTAATGGGAATGATTTACACAGGTGTAGATCAAGTAGTGTAGGAACCTGTAATACAAGTCCTGGTTTGTTCCTGTTCCGTATTTTATAGCAGAGAGATAAATTAGAATATATCTGTGAGTCTTAAGTTTCATGTTTCTGTGGGGTTTTTTTTGCATTTGTAGCGAAGTAGATTTGACCCTTATCATTTTATATTCCTCTTCATTAACAGTAAATAAAATGTGATAACCTGGCAGTAGGAATGGAAAACCACTCTGGGGGAAAGACAGTGCTGTGTGTTTGGTTCTCTGTTCCTTTTCATGAGAATTCTCCCTTTTGTGTGTACTAGTTGAAAGGGCACCAGTCTGTCCCAATTTCTCTTCAAGTGAGGTAGGCTTCTGGATATCTCCTGGAATATTTGACTGCTCATTTTAGAACAAACGACTGCTAGGAGTCATCTGGAAAATGGCCCTCTGTTTCAGGAGAAGAAAAGTTCACTGAATAGTGGTGGTTTTTCAGCCTTGTAGTGAAGGAACTGAATGGGATCAATATTAAAGGGAGCTAAATTCTATAGATCCTCAATCCATTGAGGAACATCTGTTACTAGTCTCTCCCGAGGCATGCAAATTCTAGTCCTATGTA